TGTGGGTGGCACCTGTACCCTCCCTCCGTGCTGAGGTGGGCGGGGCCAGGCCGGCTGGCTGCTGGGGGCCAGGCCCGCTTTCTCCTGCTGTCCAGAACCTGCTGAACAAGGCGCCTGCCTTCCCATTTCACACGTCAGAAGGTAGAAGCCTTCAAGCCATGACCTTGGAGGCCACAGGGGGCCTCCCCCATGGGCTGGGGAGCAGCAGTGGGTCGGGAATGCTGAGACCCGTACCGGGTGGGGCTGGGCACTCCCCATTCTATGAACACCACCGTCTCTAGCTATTTGCTTCCTGGGGACCCCAAAGTTCAGGGGGGCCATCAGCACAGGCCTGAGGGAAACAGGAGGGACAGAGTCGGGGTCCTCTAAGCTACTATATCAGCTGCCCGTTCCCCCAGGACAGTGGTTGTGATACCCCACTTTCTGCTATTAGACAGCACCGCATGACTGGGGGTGGGCGTGGGGGTTGGCATGAGGAACTGAGGAACGACTTCCTAGTGAACAGTTTCAGAGCTAAATTGGGCTGCCTTGGGCAAGCCGAGGAGCTCCCCCTTCTTGGAGGCATCCCAGATACCCCGCATGAAACTACATCAGGGATCAGACCCCCCAAACAGTGACAGGAGCCGGTCCAGTCCCCTCCCGCCTGATCCCTGGTGCAGGCCAGGGGGCTGTCGGGACACACAGAGCGCCACAGCTAAAGCCCAGTTTCCATCTGCCTGAATTTGGGTCCCTAGTCAGTGGTGACTTTGGCCAAGGGTCTTCCGCCCCGAGCCTCTTGCTCCTGGAACCGCTGCAGGGGACTCAGGAACCCTGTGCGGGGCTCCTGTCCTCCTCACAGTCCTTGTCACACCGGTTGCAGAGCCCATGCCAAGGGCCCTGGTGTGGCGTAGCCACCACTGTGTGGCGGGACGAGCCGAGCCGGGCCAGGTCGTCCACACCACGCACTGCCGTGGGAGCCGGTCACTGTCCCCCACCCCACCCCCCGGCTCCTGCTGTACCAACTGGGCGGGGCCTGCCCAGCCCAAAGGGGCAAAGTCTGCCTGGTGGCGAGGCTGCTCCATGCAGCCAGATCCCCGGGCAGCTGCTGCCCTCCTTATCTGACCGTCCACAGGGAGGCGGGGAAGAATGTGGGCACACTGCCAGCAGCTGCCTCCCCGGCTCTGGAGGGAGCCGGCCTCCCAGGCAGGCCCTCCGTGAGTCCAGCAAAGAAGGGAGGCAGGCATGAGGAAGAAACGCCCGACTTGAGGAGCCTTCTGCAGGCTGTGTGACTCCGGGCCAGCTGCTGCCCATGCTGGGCCCCACTGCCCACGTGACATGAAGCAGTGGCTGGCGTATCTAGACAGACCGGTGTGCTGACCCCTTTCCCCTGAATCCTCGGAGCCACCTGCAACCTCAGACGGACAGAAGGGACCCAGCAGGATATGCAGCTGGGGACAGAGTGACGGTCCACCCCCCCCTTGTCCCCTTTGTTTTCGGCCTCCCCACCAGCCGGGTCTTTGAGTCACAGCGAATGGGGAAGGGAGGGTGGGTGCTGTCACCTGGTGCCGTCACCCCTGCCCCACCCCCTCCAGGCTGCTCTTCCTCCCAGCCATGCTCACAGGATCAGGGCCCAGGGAGAAGCTGTGGGCCTTTTTTTTTTTAATCATTATTACTATTGTCTCAATGTTGATATATACAAAGTCGTTAATCTAGTATCTGGCACACCAAACCTCCATAGAACAGCTACTACTATTACTATAGTGAAATTAGCAGATTTGAAGCATCCACTCTCCACTAGGCGTTTTATATCTGTCATCTCATTTAGTCTTTAGTCCTAAAGGTAGATATTAGCAATAATAGTTGGCGCTGCTGGTTATCATTATGATGTTAGGGCGGCCCACGTGCTCGCCATTGGCCAGACTCTGTGAAGAGTCAATTTGGATATCTCTTCAGTCTTTGCTGCTGTCCTGAGACGGGTCCTTTGAGTGCCTTGATGGAAATGGGGGTGTTGAGGTTCCGGGGTCAGGTGACTTGGCCAGGGTCACCCAGCCAGCAGACACCGGTGCTGGGGTTTGGTCCCAGGTCAGCCTCAGCCGGGTTGATACACACACAAGTCAGTGACCTGGAGCCCAGGGCTGGGGGCCCAGGGCTCCCCAGTGGTGGGGGTGCACTCCCTGGGGCGGGGGTGCCTCATGGGAACAGCCCCCAAGTGTCACCTCCTCGGGGCCCCTGGCTCCTACCACTACACCCCCCTTGCCCTCTGTCACCCTCCCTCAGTGACTGACCCGCTGGCACCACTGCCAACTCCGCGTTGTCCCTGGGGATCCGGATGGAGCCCGCCCCGGTAATTGATTGACCCTTGATTGATGTGGGCGGTGGTTCAAGCCGTGGTTTGAGCTGCAGCCCAGACAGGCCTGGGAGCTGCCAGAGCCGGGAGCCAGAGCACAAGTTTCTGTCCAAGTTTGGACACTTTATCTGCACTTCCTCCGAAACACAGCCACCCTAGCTGTGGAGACACCCACCGAATGAGCGGTGCAGACAGCCAGGGCCGAGGGAGGGCAGGTGAGCAGACGGAGAGGAAGGCGTAGGAACGGGAACTAGGAAGGACCCAGGCCCCCATCTCTGGGCCTGTTCCCTAGTGGTCATTTGCAGGAAAAATCCCAAACCCCCAGGACGACCGAACACACAGAAGGGGCCGAGAGAAAACACGTGGCACATAGTAGGCCCTCCATGGAGGTGACCTTAAGGCTCGCGGTGGCTGGAGCTGCCGTTTCTGGGCCAGCAACCTGTGCCAGGTGCTGTGCTAAGTGCTGACATGCGACCTCAGTTGTCCTCCCAGGGACCCCACAAGCGAGGTGCCTTCCTACCAGAGTCTCACATAGACCCCCACTTCGGAACTGCTGCAGATGATGGGCCAGAAGGAGCTCGCGTTCAGAGAGCGGCAGTTTTGTTTCCTGAAGGCTCTGAGGGCCTGTGACTTGTCCCCATCCGGCCCCAGGGTCCTCAGGTCACCGCAGCAGCTGGCCTGTCCCTCCGCCCACTGGCAAACAAGAATGGAAGGAGAGGCTGCTGCCTTGCCCCCCCATAGGGCCTCTCCAGCTCTGGGTAGAGACTGGACTGGGGCGGTGTGTGTGTGTGGGGGGGTGCTGTGCCTCTCTCACCACTGCCATCCAGCTCTGGCCACTGCCCACAGAGCCTCTGACCCTCAGGGCCTTGCCTACCCCCTCCCCACAATAGGGATGCAGCCGCAGGACCCCATGTTCCCTGCAGGATTCCCAGAGACCCATCCTCCCTGAGCTGATCACTTCCAAACACTGACTCACTTGCCCGTGAACTATTTATACCCCTCACACAAATGCTCAGCCGCTCAGCGCTCCAGACAGTCATCTCTGTTCTGCTGGCGGCCCTAGGACAGGCAGGGGGCTGGGTGCACAGCAAATGTGCAGGTTGCCGAGCCCAACAGACCTCGGGTGGAAGCCCAACCGCTGTGTGACCTTGGGCAGATCACTTAACCTCTCTGAGACTCCATTATAAAAAGGCTGTTAGGAGGGTTAAATAAAGAACTTCATGTTCCCAGCACAAAGACAGATCTCAGAACAGCATGCTGTTAGATGACCAGAGGCAGCGGGGCTTCCTATGCCTTGGACGGAGGGTGGGAACTGAAACCCAAGGCGTCCATTTCTTGCAACTCCCTCCAGGACACAGGCTTCTGGAACGCAGCCCCCCTGTGTCACTGTCATCCAGCCAGCTCAAGGCTTCTTGAGGTTCAGAGGCCCATTTCGACAACCTGAGGCCTCCAGGAGACCAAGGCGAGCAGTGCCCCCTGTGCCATTCTGTGTCCTAAGAACCCTGGCAGCACCCCCCAGCCCAGGGCGGCCAGCTCTGACGCAGGAGGCCCGTCAGCTCTGTCTCTGCCGGGCCTTGGTTGGTTGCAGAAAGAGAATGAAGTGTACAGGCAGAGACCTCCCCAGCCACGGTTCCAGACCTTTCCCGCCACTCACCGCCAGCAGCCCACACAGCTCCTTCCCTGCACACAACCTGGCCGACTCCCAGGGGCCTCGTGGGGACCCGCCCTTGTGACCACTGACCCTGGCCTGTGATGCTCAGGGCTCAGCCCCGACCCGGCCCCCCTTGTCAGGCAGGTCGGTCTCACACTCTTCAGTGTGTGTCATTGATTCACTCAACAGCTTGCCAACATCAACACCTATGCCTACACCCCCCCAAAAAAAACAGGGTGCTGAGGGAGACGGGCCTTCTGTCACCTGGAGAGGCACCGTCCACATCCATGTCACAGCCTCTCCCCCAGTGCTTCTCCATCGGCAGCGATTTCACCCCTGGAACATTTGGCCACATCTGGGAGAGTCTTGACCACCTCAACTTGGGAGGAGCTGGGTCCGCGGTGAGGACAGGTGTCGTCCTCCTGTGACACCCAGCTGGGCCCCCACGTGAGCAGCCCAAGTGCTGCAGTGTGAGGTGGAGAACCCTCAGCCTGCTACCCGGGGGTGGGGAGGAGAGCAGGGCCTAGGAGCTGAGGAGACATGGCGCCAGGCTGTCCCTCGAGGGGCCCTTAAGCCAGCTGGTCCTGGAGGGGTCCTGGGGGTGCTGACATCAGAGCCCACCCTCCCGAACCGCACCCACACACACCATGTTCTTGCTCCCTCTGTCCACATCCATTTGATACAGGGAAGCTGTGGCTTCCACTTCCCGGCCCAGCAGGCTGCTCCGAACGTCAGCACTGTTGACATGGAGGGGCGCCCAGCCCCCAGAGGTGACCCCACAGAGACTGGGCCTCAGGTCTACTCTGCCGGGCTGAGGTCCCGTCCATCTGGTTGGCGGGAGGTTCCTGCTAACCTCAGGCTGTGCACTCGGGCTGTGGCCGCCCTGGTGGGCAGGGGCAGGCGGTGCACTCGGGCTGTGGCCGCCCTGGTGGGCAGGGGCAGGCGGTGCACTCAGGCTGTGGCCGCCCTGGTGGGCAGGGGCGAGGTTTGGAGGTGTCCTCAGGCCTCTCTTTGCACCCACAGGTATGACGCAGGGCGAGATGGCTTCATCGACTTGATGGAGCTCAAGCTCATGATGGAGAAACTTGGAGCCCCTCAGACCCACCTGGGCCTGAAAAACATGATCAAGGAGGTGGATGAGGATCTTGACAGCAAGCTCAGCTTCCGGGAGGTGAGCGCCGCTCCCCCTGGGGTGTGATTCCCAAGGATTCGGTTAGCACTGAGTGACACTTCACTGCTCAGCCACCAGTGAATGGCCACATTGGGCGGAGGCTTCCAGGCCCCTAAACAGACACAGGGCCTGGTCCTCAGGTGAGGACAGGGACATGCCCTCCTTCACCCAGTGAGCAGATAGCCTGTGACCCTAGGTGGACTCTGGCATCATTTCACAGAATGAAAACTGACTGGGGAGGTGGAGCCCCCTGCACAGACTGGCAAACTGAGGCCCAGGAGGGAGGGGCACGTGACCTGTGCAGGGACACGCAGACACGTGCTCCCAGTCTCCCTGCCTCCATGGGTGGCCTGAGGCTAGGGCCTGGGGGGGCGGGGTCTCGGCCCCTTCCCCGCTCCTGACTCCACCTGCTCTTCTCCCTGCCGCAGTTCCTCCTGATCTTCCGCAAGGCGGCGGCCGGGGAGCTGCAGGAGGACAGCGGGCTGCATGTGCTCGCCCGCCTCTCCGAGATAGACGTGTCCACCGAGGGCGTCAAGGGGGCCAAGAGCTTCTTTGAAGCCAAGGTGAGCCTGGGGCAGGTGGCAAGGGCTTCCCTTCCCTTACTGAGGCCACGGGCAGGAGCTGGCAGGGGCAGGCCAGCCAGCCTCCTCTTCCTCTCCCTGCTCCAGAGCTGGGTGAGGGCTGTAGGAACGGGGGCCACATTGAGCTGCCCAGCCACTACCCCCAAGGACTGGCCTTTGCCGGGAAGACCCAGGAGACAGCAAGCAGACCAGAACGCCACACTGGCTCCCAGGAGCCTCGGAGATGCTAGCGCCTCCAGCCCCAGCCTGGAGGGAGCAGGGGGGACCCAGAGCCACCTGCAAACGCCGCATGCCCTTTCCGCAACACTCCTGCAGAGGCCGAGTCTGCCGCCAGCTTCCTCCTCCCAGAGCCCCGCCTTTCCATGCTGTTCTTCCCGTTTTAGCCAGCAGCATTCCTTCCACAGGCTGCTTCCCCCTCCTGCTGGGCTTCTCGGGTGAAGGGGATGTTTCAGGGTTCATCCGTGAGAAAAGCGTGCAGCTGGGGTCCCCAGGCCAGGCACCGCAGGAGAGCAGGTCCCGCTTCCCCTTAAAGGGTCCATGCAGCCCCTCAGATCCTGGGTCTCCGTCCACCTCCTCCGTGAGGTCAGGAGCCCCAGGCTCCGGGTGGAAGAACTGAGGCTCGGAGAGGTGAACGAAGTCCCTGGCCAAGGGGCAGAGCCAGTGAGAGGCAGAAGGGAGCCCCAAGAAAGCCCAGGGCAGAGATCCCCCCTGCCTGACTCACCTCACCCCCACCCCACCCCAGGTCCAGGCCATCAACGTGTCCAGCCGCTTCGAGGAGGAGATCAAGGCAGAGCAGGAGGAAAGGAAGAAGCAGGCGGAGGAGATGAAGCAGCGGAAAGCAGCCTTCAAGGAGCTGCAGTCCACGTTCAAGTAGCCAGGGCCCTGGCCTGACCGGCCGGCCGGCCCCAGCGCCCAGTCTGACGGGCGAGCCTGCGTCCTCGGCCTGTCTGCAGGGGCCACACTAACACCTACACATGTGTGATGGAGCCAGCTGAGGGGCCTCTCCGAGCGGCCCCGCCCTCCCGCGCCCGCTGTTCTGAGGCTGGACACCAGCTGGCTCCCTGCCTGGCGACTCCCTGTCCGGTCCCTGGCCGCCCCCAACCTGCTCCAGCACGGCTTGGGGTTCTGCACCCAGCTCCTGGCTCCAGGGGCTCCCTGCCCGTGTGCCTGCCCGCACACCCCCTCTGCACCCCTCTGCCTCTCCCTTTCCCCTCTCCCCCACCCAGGAGCCACCTGCCTCTCACCTCCTGCACTGCCCCTGCCCCTGAAGCCCCCTGCGAGGCTGAGGAGCTGAATGGCGGCACACCAGCGCTTGTGGCCAGCCTGGAGGGGCGTCTATGTAGGCGGAGAAACCCTGGGCAAAGGGGCAGCCCTGCCCATCTACCTCAGGGGCGCATTCTGCAGGCGCCCTCACGGGAGCATGGGCAGGGGAGGCCACCAGCAGCCTGGGGGCCCCAGGGGCTCGCAGACCGGGCCGGGGCAGGAGGGAACCAAGCCCGTCTCGGTTCTCCAGGAGGCCGTGAGAAGTGCTTTCAGTGGTCTGCGCGGACTGGGCGCTCGGCCCCTCGCCACCCCTCCCCCAGCGCGCCTGTCACCAGCGAAGGGACCTGTCCCGCCACACCCACCCCGGGGAGCATGGGCCCCGCCCCCCCGGTCCGCGGGCCCACGCAGCCCCCAGGGGCCCGCCCGCCCGCCCTCGCGCGTGTCCGTGTCCTTGCTGTGTCGTGAAACCGTGACGTCCAGTCCAGGTGCGCAGCGGGCGGCCACCGCCTCGCAACTTGAGTGTGTCGTGACAGAATCTGCTTCTGAGACTCGCTGTCCCTGTATTTTAGTGAAGCGCCCCCTAGAGTCCACCAAACCCCGGTGGACTTGCAGAGGTTTTATTTTTTCGGCCTTAGAATCTGCAGGCGCCAGGAGCGGCCCGCGCGCGGGGTAGCCTTGGCCCTGGGTTGCGTTTGCCTTAGCGGATATGTTTATACAGATGAATATAATTTTTTTTTCCTTTTAGCTTAGTTGCTTTTTATTTTCCCCCTCCCTTCTCATCCCTCCCCCCAAAAATGCTACTTCTTCATTCAGTGGTACGATTATTTTTTTTAACTAAAATAAGATAAAATTGTATATTCTTATGTGTGTGTGTGGTTCTTGGTTAGCAGGGGAGGGGCAGGAGGAGGCAGGGGCCATGTCCCCGGGGGGGGCAGGGGGACGTTGTAGGAAGCAGGGGAGAACAGACGCCTCTTCCCAACGGGACAGGTTGCTTGAGACACCTGCTACCCCCAGACTCGAATCTACATGATTGACTCATACGAACCCATTTAATCTCCCAACAAACCAGGGAGGGCAGGAGGGGGGAGGGGTGGGGGGCACTTTTTAATCCCAGAGGAGAAAGGGGAAGCCTGGAAAGCCCCAGAGGCACACAGCCAGGGTGGCAGGATGCAAGCCTGCGGGCTGAGCCCTCAGCCCCAGCTCCTAACCACCCAGCTACCCTGCCTGGTCAGCGGGGGCGTGTCTCCACAGGGCCTTGGCGCACAGCATGGCGGCCAGGAGAACAGCACCTAGGCCACAGGGAAGTGGACAGATGCAGCTTAGCGCCCCCTCAAGACTCTCCCACGCAGACACCCAAGACTTCCACCACACACACAAGCTACGGTAGCAGGATGATAAGAGCCAGGGTGCTCCTGTGTGACTTTAGACAGATCAGCCTCCCCCGGGGCTCGGTCTCCCCATCTGTTCAGTCCAGGGGTGGCCCAGGGTCACCCTTGCCCTGTGGTTCCAGAGGGCGCCCCTCTCCCACCTGCAACCTGAGCGGGCGCGCAGGAGTCTGGGATCAGGCTGGACGCTGCCGCCCCCGGGTGGACGACAGTGGTAGTACAGCAGCCTGGATGCCCGCCCTCTCTGGCTTCCTGCAGACCCTGCCAGGGGAAGGCAGCTTTCTTGACGGCAATTTCCTAGGGAATGCCACCCAGGGAGCATGGCCTTCAGCAGAGTCCCTGGTGGTCTGTGCACGTGGGTCAGAACCGAGGGGTAAAGGGGCTAGTGCAGGCTCCCCGCCCCAGCCCAGCTGGCCAGCAGTGGGTGTGGACCTCCAGCCCCAGGGATGACCCAGGGGAACCCCCAGCAACAGATCTCATCTGGTGAAGGCTCCTCGATGTGGCCTGCTCAAAAGCCCACTCCCAGCCCGGGCAGAGGTTGTGGGCTGAGGAAGGAAGGCCCGAGGTGATTAAGAGTGCGCCCTCACACACATCCCAGCCCCTGTTCCCAACACCAAAATCTCTCTCTGACTCCCCAGGACTTTCATCTAGTTTTGAAAAGAAACCTTCCCCGCCCCCAGCCCCCTTTGTGAGCCTCGCCAGGGTAACAGCTGCCCCTTGAGAGTCCTGTCCCAGCAACAAGCCGTTCCAGCCGTCAGGGACACCTGTTCCACTTTCAGGCTCCCGCCCCACCCCCACTCCAACCTTGGCACTGATTTCTGCACTGCACCCGCCCCCGGCCCAGCCTCCACCAAGCTCCCAGGGTTATTTTCCATGGTTATTTCATGTCCCTTAGTGGCTGTGAGCTCCCAGGCCCGGGCCCTGGCACACACAGGACTCCTCAGGATGGATGGGATTCTTTCATCACACGCCCTCGTGTCCTCAGCTCATTGTGGGTATGGAATCTGGAGAGAAGGAATCTTTTCCTAACTTTTACCCCATTAGGCCCCCACCGGAAACTAAGCTCTTCTCGTCCGGAGCTCCCAGCCCCTGACCCAGAACCTTCCAAGGAATCCTGACCGCCCCCCCCCACAGCGAACTCTGGTGCTTGCTGAGCAGGGTTTTATCACCTCTGTAGCCCCAGTCCTGGCACAGGGGCTGCACACAGTGGTGCTTGGCAAACGTGGGAGGCAAGATTGAATGAATGAATGAATGAGTGAGTGAATGAATGAGTGAGTGAATGAATGAATGAGTGAGTGAGTGAATGAATGAGTGAGTGAGTGAGTGAATGAATGAGTGAGTGAGTGAATGAATGAGTGAGTGAGTGAATGAATGAGTGAATGGCTTCCACGTACACGGTATGTCCCTGCCTTGTAGTCTGGACAAGCAAAAGTCACATCTTTAAATCCTCAAGTTAGTCCAAGTTCCATCCCCTCCCACCACAGGAAAACCACCCCTCCCACCCCGCTTCTGCAAATATTCACAAGCAAGCCCTCCCTCCTAGGGCTTCAGAAAATCAACCATCCAAGCGTCCCCACTGTGACCAGGGCAGAGTGGAGCCCTAGAGTAGTGGCATAGTGGCATCCTCTGGCCAGCTGCTCCCTCGATCAGACTAGGGGCACCTGGGGGGTACAGGCACGAGCCAGGCATGAGCCCAGAAGCAGCCCCCACCTCTGCGCAGATGCGCCCATCCAGCTTTCTCCCTTGCTACCCCCCAGCACAGAGCACACCCCCTCCAGGGCCAGGAAGAGCGCTCAGGCAGACCCGCAGAACATTCCCCAAAGTCCCTCTCAGCCACTCTGTCCTCTAACCTGACACGAGCAGGGCCGCGCCCGGAGCCAAATCGCCCATCAGTACAGTGGACTCTGCCCAGAGCCCGAGATATCTTTAGGGCCATACAAATGCTTTGGTTCCTTTTCAAATCAACAAGAAAAAGTAAATATAACCCATCAGCCTTTATAGCCATGCAATATAAGTTTAATAATTTTTGAAGGAAAAAGGGACCCACAAAGGCAAAAGCCCCATGACAGTCTGGCCTTAGCTTTCTCATAAGAACCAAATAGTAACGCAAGAGTGACAATGGCAAACGCCAGTGTCCACCAGTACCATGATACAGAGAGCGCATGGGAGCACAGAGAGGGTGAGCAGTCAGTACAAGGTCACACAGCTGGGCAGTCAGAGCTCTGGGGGTCCCCTCCCTCAGGACAATGGCCAGCCCTAGGCCATGCACTTGACATCCCATCTTCAGCACCCGAAGCAGACTAAGGTGACCTCAGCTTTCTCCAAGTACAGTCTTTTGGTGCTACCTGACAGGTAGGGAGCCACCTGGGATGAGAAAGTTCCCCTAAACGATACAGTCTGCATCGCCCTCCGAGAAAGGACAGTTTCTCTCTGGACATTCCAAAAAAAGGAAAAACGGACGGTTCCTCCTGTGGTGGCTGGCACCATGCCCCTGGGCCTTCATGACTATTTGTGCTCTCGGTACATGTCCGAATGTGTGGCCCATGGCTCTGCTTGTGTGAACATGTAGCTAGACACTTGACATGACTGACACTGGTGGGCAGGTCTGTGGCCACAGAGCTGCCATCTGTCTGTCTGTCCCTGTATACCTACAGGCATGTGCCAGCGACTCACATGGGTGCTAAGAAAGCGCTGTGTCACACATCCCCAACTAAACGTCAGTTGGTCATTTTTCCAGGTTGTACAAGAAGAAACTGAGGTTGGCCAAGTTCTGGACTATCCAGCAAGTCACTCTGTATCGTTCCTTGCCTCACAACCTTGCAGAACTCTGAAACCTGTCACCTGGCTCAGGTGACCATATCGCTGATGACAACGTCAGTCCCCAAGCCAGGGTGACGCTTCGCAGTTGGTGATCAAGAGCCTTAGGGGTCCCTCCCTGGTGGCGCAGCGGGTTAAAGCGCAGCACCGCAAGCTGGCCTCAGCCGCTTCAGTGCGAGTTCAATCTCCGGCCCCAGAGATGACCCACATGGCGCGGCAGACCTCCCCTGACCCGCCCGCTGCTCCCCTCAGCAGTGTGCTTCATCGATCTGCCTATTCTGCTCCCCACTCTATCTCTGGTGAACCCTCTCACTCCTTGCACCTCTGTCCTGTACCCCAGTTCTGTATGCATAAATAAATAAATGTTTAAGGGAAAAAAAGAGACTCAGGTCTGGGCCAGATTGTGTAGTAGCTATGACCCTTCTGGCAAGACCAGACTCTAGAATGCAACCGAAATTTCTAGCATCCCAAGATCCCCCCAGACACCCTCTTTTTGGGGTCCAAAGTCAACACGGCAGGTCAGAACTCATACTCCCTGTTTCTCTAGGTTTTCCTTCTTTTTTTTTTTTTTTAAGATTTATCTATGCTTACATAACTGGGGTACAGGCCAGAGGTGTGGTAGGTGAGAGGATTCACCAGAGACGGAGTGGGGAGCAGAAGAGGCAGATCGACAAAGTACACCTCTGAAGATGGTAGTGGGCGGGTCAGAAGAGGTCTGCTGCACCATGTGGGTCAGCTCCCTGGCCAGGAATCGAACTCACGCTGCAATGGCTTCAGAGAGCTTCATAATGTGATGCTAACCCAATGCACCACCAGGGAGAGCCCTCTCTGGGTTTTTCTTAATCAAAACTTTACATCAGCAAAATAATGCAGACTTATTATTTAAAAGATTTAACTTGCATACGATACATAAGTTGGAAACCTCCTTCACCCCTGCCTAACCACCATGAACAGCAGGATATATAGTGTTCTGAATATCTTTACTGGGAAATAATTCCTAAGGTGACCTGTGCACCCAGCTCAGAAAACGACTTCCAGGCAGACGTCTAATGAGTAGAAAGGAAAAGAAACAAGGTTCTACCCACCCAGCTGAAGTCAGGCCTTGAGGTTAAACCAACTGGCTAACCCCAAATGACCTGGGTCTGGGCAGAACTCCCAGGCACACACAGCATTCTGGGTCCCCACCTAGTCCCACACTTGGCCTTCACATGCAAGTTCCATGTGGAATCTGGAACAGAAAGCAGCCTCAGTGTCCATCTGGTCAAATCTGCCCATTTAAGAGGTGGGGAGACAGGTAGCTGGCACCGGGGAAGACTGACCAACCAGTGCTTGGCCCCTGTCTGCCTGCGTCTCAGCCTCCAGCCGCAGCAGGGAGGAGGTGCAGGAGAGCAGGAAATGCCCCAAGGTCAAACAGTGTGAGTGAAGTGAGGGAGAAAACAGCAAGGAAGCGAGTGGAGCCCCTGGTGGGCGCTTGAAACAGCGACTTCAAATCCTGGTTCTGCTGTAGCTGGGCTGGGTGGCCTGGATGGTCACTGAGCCTCTGGGCAAGGGGGCAGGTGTGTCTACTTCCAGGAAAGAGCAAGTGTGGGCGAGGATGTGGAGAGTCGGTGGACTGTACATTGGTGTGGTCATTATGGAAAGCAACAGGGAGATTTCCAGAACAGAAATTGTGCACGACCAATTATTCCCTCTTCAGGTTATTTGCCTGAAAAGCACAAACACACAAATTCAAGGAGATACCTGCACCCCCCATGTTCACGGCAGCATGATTTACAATAGCCAGAGCTAGAAACAACCTACATGTCCATGCCCAGGTGAATAAAGATGGGGTATACACACACACTGGAATAGCACTCAGCTCAAAATATCTATATAAACATGAGGGCCTCCCTGGTGGTCTAGAAGTTAAGTCTCAGCACTATCATCTATGGCCTGAGTTTGAGCCCCGGCCAGGGAGTGACCCCCAGGGCGCAGCAGACCTCTCCTGTCTCCCCGCTGCTCCCCTCTGCAGTGGATCTCAGTCAATCTGCCTGTTCTGCTCCCCACTCTGTTTCTGGGGAATCCTCTCACCCCACACACATAGCTCTGGCTTGCGCCCCAGTTTTGATGCAGAATAAAAAGAATAAAAGAAAATAAATAAATAAAGATGAAGTCCTGCCATTTGCAGCAACAATATAGACCCGGAGGGGATGAGGTCTAGTGGAACCAAGCAGACAGCCCTGGGCTTCGGTGGTGAACTTAATACAGGAGCTATGTTGATTCTCAAGGATGCACCTGACGGTCCAGACAACACCCCAGTGACCCCCAAGATACGTGTCTCCTTCAGGTTAGACTTAAGTGTGGCAAGGAGCGTGGGGCATGGTGCCGGGCACATGGCAGGTGCCCAATAAATGAGAACTCAGAAGGATGAGTTAGGGAGAGAAAATGAGATCACACGCCGAGTGGAGTGGTGGGGACCGCAGAAAACCTGCCAGCCTCGGAATCTCTCCACCTTGGAAAGTTGAGAATTTCATGCCTCTGATCCAGCCCCTTCCTCGCCCCAATTAAACAGTAACCACCCAAGGTCAGGGAAAGGGCCTTATCAGAACAGGTTTCTCCCCAAGGGGAGGCTCAGCCTTGACCAGGTGGCCCCACACTCCCGCCCGCCTATAAGTGCTCCCCTGCGGGGGCCGAAGCCCCAGGAACTCAGCCCCAAGCACTGTCACCATGCTGCGTTTCACCGTCCTTGCCGCCCTCCTGGCCTGTGGTGAGTGGGGGTCAGGCACCAGCTGCAGCCACGGGCCCGTGAGCGTGACCTGGCCTCCTGGGGACACAGGGGGTCACACAAGGGCTTTCTCCCCTCCAGGGCTCCAAGAAAGGAGATTTGGGGTCCAAAGTAGGTCCAGGGACCACTGGCAAGCCGGGCATCAGATGAGCCGCTGGCCCACTGAGCAGCCCCCCTTCCAAGCCTGTAGCTGGGGCTCTGAGCCCCCCGGTGAGGCTGGGAGCCAGGCTGTAGAAAGCGCCTGGCTGGGCCTGGGACAAGGAAGATGCCTGGTCCTGGGCTCGCTCCAGGGGCCGCCAGGCCTGACTTTCTCAGTATCAGCCTCACTCCCTTGGGACACTTTGTTTCCCCCATTCTGGTGGCCTTCTCCCAGATTGGGAGTCGGAGAGCTTGGCTTGAATGCCGCTCACTCTCAGTGAGACCGAGACAAGCTACTTCACCCCGCTAAAGGCCATGGCCCTTTTGGCACAAGAGAGCATTTGATTAGGAGTCCTTCCCGCTAACAACAACAACAGCAGTAGTAATCATAATCACAATCATAATGGCAGCTCCCATGTCTTAAGCCCTTTATATGCAGGAACTAACTGGTCCTCACAACAATTTTCAGGACCAGAGTCTATTAATAGCTCCATTTTCTCTGCTCCCCTGTCTCCCCCAGCCACCAGCTGCGGGGTTCCCAGCTTCCTGCCCAACCTCGCTGCCCGAGTGGTGGGAGGAGAAAATGCCCGGCCCCACAGCTGGCCCTGGCAGGTAAGTGTACTGCTGCAGGTTGGGAGGTGGACAGAGAAGGTAATGGGGAGAGATCCCAGGGCTGAGCACGCCCTTCCCTCCCCCCAGATCTCCCTCCAGTACCTGAGGGACGGCACCTGGAGGCACACATGTGGTGGGACCCTGATTGCCAGCAACTTCGTCCTGACAGCTGCCCACTGCATCAGGTGATGAGGGAGAAAACCCCACTGTCCTGGGCTGGGAGACTCAAAGCTGCTTCTATTCAGCACCTCCGACACGCTCGAGGCACTGGGCTATTAATAAGCCCCCGGCATGCAGCAACTCAGGTGTTCATGGCGGCTTTCCACGAGCACTGATCGTGTCCCTACTGTGTGCCCGGGAGGGGACACAGAGAGAGGACAGAGCTTGTGTCCAGCAGAAGACAGAACAGACCGCTCAGCCCGTAAACCTCTAACCTGGAGCAGTGAAACAAGACTGCAGCTGGGAAAGATGACTCTATTGTGAAAGAGCTGGCTTGGGGAAGGAGGCCAGGGGAGGGCAGGGAGGCGGTTAGGTGGCAGCTACAGGCCAGAGGCAACAAGGCTGGACTGGATTATTCTTGCAGCAGCCCCGGGGCGTGAGTTCTGCCTTACCAGTCTAGGAACCGAGGCCCAAAGCTACCCACCAGACGGCAAAGTGGACCTGCCTCTAAGGCTAGGATCCTCGCCCCGGAGGGTCAGTGGGGAGGGACACGCCCACCCCCAGGCGATCCCCACGATGATGCAGGGCTGGGCCACCTCTCTGCCCCACTGTCTGGCGGGAGCAGGAAGCCACCCTGGCCTGACCGGTCCCTTCCTCCTTCAGCAACACTTTGACCTACCGCGTGGCCCTGGGGAAGAACAACCTGGTGGTGGACGATGAGGAAGGCTCCGTGTACATGGACGTGGACACCATCCATGTCCACGAAAAGTGGAACTCCTTCCTGGTGCGGTAAGTGCCCAGCCCCACAGCCAAGGAGGCAGAGCTGCCCGTCACCCCCCACCCCCCACCCCAGGCCCCTCCTTACCCTGACGGCCAACAGGTGAACCCCGGAGACAAAATGGCTAAGTAGAACCAGACAGCCCTCCCACTCCACGGCCACGGTCAGAGGAAGGGGGTCAAGAGCACATGGCCCCCACAGGGTCTCGCCTGAAGCCTCAGCGGTGGGGGGGGGAGGCGTCACCTTGACTGCTTGCCGGTGCTTTCAGTCATCCTCACCACAGCCCCAAGGGTAATGAGAGTCAGGGTTAAGGACCAAGACCCAGGTCACGGCGGAACCAGAACTCTAACCGGGTCTGCCTGGGTGGCCAGCGGTCGTCCTGCTGCCTTGAAAACAAACACCGATAAAAGAGGTGTCCCTCTTCCATTGTGATAATTTCCCGATCACTTCAGCTTCCTGTCTGGCTAATCCAGAAATGCACAGCTCCTGGCTGTGATGTGCAGACTCGTACAGCAGCCACATCCAGAGGGGATCGGGATGGAGTCAGAGGTGGACCTGCTGTCATCCGGCAGGGTGCCTTTGAGGGACCCTGGCCCCTAGGCCCTACCCCCAACTCCCAGGGGCCTCCCAGCATGGGGGGGGCCTTCCTGCCCCCTCACGGCCTCTGCTCTGGATTCCAGCAACGACATCGCCCTCATCAAGCTGGCGGACCACGTGGAGCTGAGTGACACCATCCAGCTGGCCTGCCTGCCCCAGGAGGGGACTGTGCTGCCCCAGGACTACTCCTGTTACGTCACCGGCTGGGGGCGCCTCTGGAGTAAGTGCTGCCTGGAGCATGGAGGTGGGGGGTCTCCCCACACCCCCACCCTGCCTCCACTTCAGCCTTTTTAAACTTTGTAATAATATCAGCTGGTATTTATTAAGCACATGCTAATGAGGGCTCTGTAAGGGCATTGTCGGGATGGACTGGACTAGGAATTGCCAAGTGCTGGACACCTTCAAAAATGGGCCTGAAAGAAACTCGGCAAACCGTGTGGGAGTGAAGGATTCGATCTGATGGCCTGTCACAGGCCCAAGCACATTCCAGCTGAATTAAAAGGTTAAATGCCAATCAGTGAAACTACAGGTTTAGTGGGAAACATGGATCAATACGTGAAATGTCTTGGGGAGGGAGAGACCCGTGGGTGTCACGAGGGACGCCAAAGCCCGAGAGAGCCCTAGGAGGATAGAAGTCCGTCACATGGCACACGGGTGACTTGGTGATGGGAAACCCAAGGGGATTGCAACTGAGATGGAAAAATGCGCACAAATATGTAAAAATAAACTTTTTTTTTTAAAGTCTATCATAACCCCAGGGCCCAAATTAGGGAACTCAGCTCAGGGGCTACTCCTCGAGGGCTTTCCCTGAACCCCGCCTGGCGCCTGCGCCCTTTCCCCACCCTCAAAGGTCCCCCTCAAGCTGGGAGGCTCAGCTCTGGGGGGAGGGCTGGGAGGGCTTCCCACAAAGTCCAGAAGCTCTCCCAGCCCCCACGGGCTCTGCTCCGTGAAGGCCCAGGGCAGGCAGGCACAGGGCCCGCCAGGGTGACGCCAGCACCCTGTCCTCTCCAGCCAACGGCCCCATTGCTGACGAGCTGCAGCAGGGCCTGCAGCCTGTGGTAGACCACGCCACATGCACCCAGAGCGACTGGTGGGGCGCCATGGTCAGGGACACCATGGTGTGTGCCGGCGGTGACGGCGTCATCTCAGCTTGCAACGTGAGTGTCCCGCGGCCGAGTGGAGGGGGCGGCAGGCCGGCCGCGGAGGGAGGGGGCCGCGGAGACCCGCAGGAGCGCCCTTTCCCTGGAGGACCCCTGGGCCCCAGTTGTGCCTCAGGGGGCGCTTGTCACGGCCGCCCTTCCCCCGGGCACTGCGGCAGGAACGAGGAACTGGAGCTCAAGCATCTGGGCCAGCCCTTGGCCCTCCACGTGGCAGCTGCGTGATGGTGGGCAGGCTGGGGGACCTCTCTGAACCTCCGCTTTCCCCTTCCATGACGGAGATACCCCGAGCGCAGGGCTGCTGGAGGACTGAGCCCAGCAAGCTCAGGAGGGACTCGTGTGCAGTCTCTGCCCCTGAGCCAGGGGCACGGAGGACAGAGGGAGTCTGGCAGGAATCCAGGGGCATCTGCGACAGGCCGGGGTACCCTGACCGCAAAACCACAGCCCTCTCCCCCGCCCCGCCTCGCTGCCCCGGTGTCCGATCTGCCTCCCAGCCTCCCCTGCTCGCCGGGCAGCTCACGAGGCCCAGAGAGGGTCATCACCACGAAGATCACACAGCAAGCAGCTAGGCTGGCACCCCCCGCCTCCCAGTCGAGGAGCCCGAGGGGGTAGCTTGGGGGCCAAGGTACCCCCCAGTCACGGACAGGCGGCCCTGGCCGGCCGGCTGACCGCGCCCGTTCGCAGGGGGACTCCGGCGGCCCGCTGAACTGCCAGGCCGCCAACGGCTCCTGGGAGGTGCGCGGCATCGTGAGCTTCGGCTCCGGGCTGGGCTGCAACACCCGCAAGAAGCCCACCGTCTTCACCCGCGTGTCTGCCTACATCGACTGGATCAACGAGGTGGGCGCCGGCCCGTGCTCCCCCTGCACCGCCAAGCACGCTGCCTCGCCCCTCCCTTGCTCACCCCGCACGCGTCCATTCACGCTGTCATCCACTCACTCCTTCACTGGCTGACTCAGTCACTGGCACTTTCTGAGAGTCACACACTCGCTCACTCGCTCACTCGCTCACTCACTCACTCACTCACTCGCCCACCCACTCGCCCACCCACTCACCCACCCACTCACTCGTTCACCCACTCACCCACTCACCCACTCACCCACTCGTTCACTCACTCACTCACTCACTCATTCTCTCACTCACTCACTCACCCACTCATTCACTCACTCACCCACTCACCCACTCACTCACCCACCCAATCACTCATTCACTCACTCACCCACCCACCCACTCATCAACTCACCCACTCGTTCACTCACCCACTCACTCACTCACTCACCCACTCGTTCACTCACTCACCCACTCACCCACTCAC